TATTATTTAAATATCACGGCAATACTGAAATTAAAATTATCCAATCAGGTGCGGTTTCAGCCATCAGCGTCATAATCGACAATGTTTTAAATCATGTTAAAAAACATAAAAACCATTAAAAAGCGATTTTTTACCATCCCTATCTTTAATGCTTTTGCTGCCTTTATTCTGGCCGGAAGGGCTGGTCATATTCAGTAACAGTAGGTAGATTTGCCCAAACTTCATATTCTTAAAATAAAAAATAGGTGATAAAATTATGATTATCGTACTATATAATAAGGATTCACTCCGTTTCACTAACATCTATTTCTTCGAATTTCAACTTTAATGAGATTAGTTCTAACTTTAGATCAGACTAAACTTAATTGTCGAGGCTGCGAAGAAATGATATCAACCATGAAAATAATTATTGACCGGAATCATTAGGTGTGATTCACGATTTTGAAAGGAAAAATTATTATCAGGTCCAGAATATGACCAGGGAACTTTGTAATATTCGAAAATAACTATTTTTATGTATAATTTTTCTGAAACTATATTCTTGTATTACCTTGTCAAGGAAATGTCTTGTCGAGTAAATATTGTATTGCTATCATTACATACTGTCCAGAAAAATGTATTATTGAAATTGCTAGTAATTTTAATTTTGGAGAAATTCTATGTTGAGAAATTATGTACGCGATTTCATATATATATATTTTTAAAAAAAAATTAATATCTTGCCTGTTGGTTTTTCTAAAAGGCCTCTTGCAACCGCTTTAGTTTCTGGGGGAAATCTCTTATCGCGTCCAACGACTTGTATAAATTGCTTTTAATTTTTTTTTTTTTTTTTTTTTTTTTGAGCCGAATATTCAATGACCCAATTCACGTAATGCTGAGAGGACCAATTTTTACAGGGTGTAATCTCAAAATACTTGGTAAATGGATCTTTCTATCCACCAAAAATATCAAGTAATCTGATTTCTGTAAAAATGAATATTTAAATTTGATTAAAATTTGATGCGAGTCAAGCTTTTTTTTTTCAAACAATTAATAAGAAATCAAGATTAAAGCCACTAATTCTTAGCATACCTCCAGATCTTGTTGAGATCGAAGACGAGGACGAAGTCAAAGAAGTTGAGGCCGAAGACGAGAACAAAAGTCAAAGAAGTTGAAGCCGAAGAAGACATTTTATTCGAGAATGGTTTTGGTTAAAAAAAAAAAAAAAGAAGGGTTTTCAAAAAAATTTTGCAAGGTTTAGCATTGATTGATTAATATGAATTTTGTAACTAAAATTTAAATTTGGAGGCAAAATATTTAGACTTGATGACTAATTCTCATAAATTCGCTATAATGAATAACAATAAATAAATGTAATAATTTACTATATACTAAACAAAAAAAACATATCTACTGTTATAGCTTTAGTTTGTGTAAGAGACTATGTGAGGCTGATGTGACGGCACTAAGCTTCTAACAGGTTAAGGTCTCTTAAGATAATATAATGAATAAAAGCACGGGCTGTCTCGAGGAATAAAATGGGGAGTTCTTGTCTTTCATTATAAATTAATATAAAATAATGATTTGCCTTTATTACCAACCATTATTGATACTCAGATCCCACCTGGTTGAATGAGATGCCATCGCGTCCAATATAAGTTGTAACTGGAGCTAAACCACGCATACATCGTGTACTGCACTCCCAACCAGTCGTAACACTGCAATGTCAATTTAATGCAAAATATTAATTAGACTTATCTAAAAAAATAAAATAAAATAAAGTAAAAAAATATAGCACAATTCATGTTATTTTGAATATATTATTTCGAGTACATATGTGTATCATTTTGAAATAAAGACCAATATTTCTTTCAAACATGGTTTTCAAATACTGTACATGGTATATAAGTGATGTAATGAGAAAACCTTTAATTTACGATTTTAAAACATTTCTTTGACATGATTCTAAATGAATTCAAATTTTAATCGAGTATAATTTCATCATATGATTTTGATAAATAATAAATTTATTCTAATTTGAAGTATATTTTCCAATTGGCATGTATTGTGCTGTTATTATTAGATTAAATCACTCGGACATTTCAAAGTTAGTTATCAAAGTTAGTTATTCTAAAAATTACTGATCGATAAATCTTAGAGTTATAATAATAGAAATAATAAATACTAACAAAGAAATGACACCACCAATAATAACTCCAATGATTAAGTTAGAGTTTGAAAATAATAAAGTATTATTTGAAATTGTAGTGGTAATATTGCTTGGAAATGCTGTAATATTTAGAGTAAATTCAATAACTCATCTATAGGAATCTTTTTAGCTTATATCTAGCATAAATATTCCTAAAGAAAAATTATTATTTGGAAACACACCTGTTGAACAAATAAATCTTAAATAAAGAATTATATAACCAGAATTAAAATAATTAAAATTTTTACCAAAAGCAACAATCAACTAATGTTGCAGTATGTCCGCTAAGAACTAAACCCCATAATTGAATTAAAAGGTTTCCAAATGACCATTGAAATGTTGAAACATCTAAGATTCAAAGATCACTTCCAAATATTATAATACGTCCATCGGGTGCTTTTAAAATACAGTAAATAAATTTGAGTCCTAAAACTTTATTGATATGTTACTGTATATGACTTACTTAATTCCGCTGAGAAATCAGAACGAGCAGAGGGAGTTTGACCAGATGTATTCTAATGAGATACAATATTATATTTAATCTTTAAGATAAAATAAAGATAAAATATAACTTATACTATTTATCATTTACTAGATCACGTATCAGATTTTGTATTATATAATGGTAACTGAAAAAATTTATGAATAAAAATATTAAAATATTTAGTTATTAAAAGACACCACTTACATTGTTTATCGGCATGTATAATGAAACATTAGCAGAACTCTCTCCACCAATATATAAAATATTTTCATCAGGCAAAGTTATTACACAATAATCAAGTCAAAATGGTGGTGCATCGGTTGCATTGCTTAAACTCCATGATGATGTTAATTTATTAAATATCCAAAGATTATTATTGTTATCAATAGCCTTAAAACCACCAAAAATGGCAAGCAGTCTATTATTAAATTTGGCACATAAAATATTAAATCTAATTGTAGATGAATTTCCAGTTTTTTCCAGTGGAATGTGACATTAGTCCATTGTAGTTTATTAATATCAAACTGAAAAACTGGTGATTGATTTGCGGTAAAAACAAAAAATCATATCATTTATTTTTTCTACCAACACAGGTTGTAGATTTACTTTGAGGACTGCCAGTAAAAGTAAGATCAAAAAAATAGTATTAAGATATCGTTTGTTGTAAATGGTTTAGATAGAAGAATTCTTTATCATTTTCATTAGAAAATTTCTCCACCCAAAAATAGATTTTTCTATTAAGGCCGTTTGAAATTAAAAATTCGTTTAACATCTCCCCCACCCCACTTCTGAAGCTCCCCCCTTAAACATTATGAGTATGATCTAAAAAATTGAACAGATTGGTAAAATCTCGGAAAGCACTGTTTGTTTAATTTTTCCCCTCTTCCCTCTGCATAAAAGAATGTTAAACGAAAGTTTAAATTAAAATAGCATAATATTTACAAGAAAATGGATAGATAGAATTTAACGAGTAGGTCTTAAGTGGGATATTGAAATAAAATTATATGAAAGAAAAGTAATCACTTTGTCTACTTAGTACTACATGTATTTACATAGATGTTAGTTATTTGTAATTTGAGTCCAAGTTAAAACAACTAAAGCAAATAAAATTCTTTTCTAATATATTTTTACTAGTGTTCGAAGACAGTTTAAGCATTGATTTTATTTTGTTCTTTGAACTATCAATTTCGAATTTTTTGATCATCATATCGAATTTCGTGACAATTTGATTGGCAAATTTAGATTCAATTCATGCCATCTCGTGAGACTATTAACTTTTTACTAAGTGGCTATCAGCTTGATTTTTACACGTCTAAAAAGCCGCGTTTCTTTTTTGCATCGCCTTTTTCTTTTTAGAAAATCTATTTTTTTTTTTTTTTTTTTAAAAAACCCTTTTTTTTTTTTTTTTTTAACCAAAACCATTCTCGAATAAAATGTCTTCTTCGGCTTCACCTT